ATCCCAAAGGTGTTTCTTTTAATCAAGCTCTAAATGATTTGGGATGCTCTGAAAATGAACTTAAGTTCCACTCAACCAAGCCAAGAACAACAGAAGCCACTAATCGCGTGCATTTATTTATGGTGCAAAACTGGATAGATTTGAGGAATGTTTTTGAGATAATCTCATCCAAAATTATTTCTTTTCTGTTCACTGTTACCGTGAAGGTAACCCTAGCTCTCTAGAGCCAATCTTAGAAGAGTCAGTGGGTTTTGAGACTTGAGGCATAAAGGGTTTTTAGTCTTTCGATTTATCTCACTGAAGCAAAGGTCCCTCAAGATAGTGAAATAACTTGAATTATGCATTAAATGTGATCTTTATCAAATTCTTAAAACATGGTGTCTGATCTTAATTTAACACACTCTTTTATGAATGCATATTTTTCATCTGGATTTATTCTGTTTGTGGAATTGACTTGGAGTGAGTTTTGCCTTCAAGCTAGTTTGCTTTCTTTACTCGGGAGTTTTTTTCAACAATTTCGATATTTTTTGTAATTTTTAATCAACTGTTCCAGCCGCTCTGTCTTCACTCTGTATTATAAATGTAGCTGATCAAAGAAGCAGAACACTACAGCATTGCTCCAGGCAATAATTTGGAAACATTTGTACTGAATTACTGTTCTGAAAAATATCTTGTTTGTTTATTCTATTGTTTTTATTGTCTAATGTAGAACAAATTTGTCTTTTAGGATAGTTTCTGCTTATCACTGATAGCAAAAAGGAAAATGTCATGTCTTGTTTAGATCTGTTTTGGCCACTGTGGGGTATCGGCAAAGAACTATGCTGGAACAAATTGAACATACTTTAACCATATTTGAAATACTATTGCATTAAAATGCAAATCCTTTTTTCAGTGCACGACCTAACTCACAAATATGTCACTAATAATAAGTGTTCTAATTTAAAAATAACACTTTTTAATTGGAGAAAATCTTCCTAAAGCAGCAGGGCAACCTGTTGGTATTGGTATTGTTATCTTATACCTCCTGAGTTGAATTTCCGCCTGGGACACCTTCTGTGCAGAATCTGAATTTTCCTCTGGTGTTTTTGTGGCTGTTTACTGGGTGCTTCAGTTTACTTTTACTTTTCATGACCTGGTGGCTTGATTACCCAGTGTGTGTAAGCTGTCTGTCAGTGTGTGTATGCCCTGCCACAGGACTGGTATATAGTCTAGGCTAGCACCACATGCTAGAGAAGATGCAAGATTGTCTGTGGGTTGTTGTTGCATAAATACCTTGCTTATAATAGACAAATAGAAAAACTTGGAATTAAGTAACTTAATGGAAAATTAGATGAGAATGAATTCTTCCATACTTTTGAGTGACATGAGTGTCTTACCTTAACTTCTGTTGTTGATGCATAAAGTACTTAAGTTTATCGAAGTGTACTGTATTTGACAGACTCCTTTTTAATTTGTAGGTTGGTTCTCAGGTCATTTTAAACTTCTCAGGTAAAACATTTTCTGGCATACTCCGTAAAGTACATTTCACATGATAGTTCATCAGCATTTGTTTTTTTGAACAGTCTTGTCTAATGAAAAATATCTTTTTAATTTCTTGAGCTGCGAACCACAGTAGGCCTTACTGTCAAAGTGATGATTTGTCTCTTATGTATGAAAATGTCTTGTGCAACTGGATTATCAACTGAAAATCACTAGGGACTAGACGAAATGCTTAAACACAAGTTCCCAGCAACCACTTATAAGACAATTTTAGAGCTTTGCTTTATAGCCAAGAATGCTTTTCTGCTTCTGTCTCCAGTTCAAATGTTGTTTAGCAGCTGCTGGGTGTCTTGATGAATAGTGCTTCCTGTTATTCAAAATAAACAGTTTTGGGACTTTTTAAACTACAATCTGAATTTTCCAGTTTGATTTTCTTTGTGAAATTAGTATAGTAATACTATCACGAGAAAAAAATGACAAATCTTTAAGTGATTCCACGCATGAATCAATAAAGATTATTTTTCAGTAAGCCATATTTGTTTTTCCTGTGTATACTGTATGCAGTATATGTATTGTAGTATCAATAATAATATCACTTTATTAACCCTTTAAAATGTCTTGCATCAGGAATTAACTTTTCGCATTGCTCTCCTTGAGACAGAGACGGAGAGAAGCTTGAGATCAGAGCGCAGGGTCAGCCATTGTACGGCGCCCCTGGAGCAGCTGGGGTTAAGGGCCTTGCTCAGGGGTCCAACAGAGTAGGATTCCTCTGCCGTCGGCGGGATTTGAACTGGCAACCTTCTAGCCACAGGGCCACCGCTCTGCCCCACTGGTTGCGTTGTACTGGTTTATAAAACCAGAATTAATCATTTCTGTCACTGCTATCAGATGAGTTTTTTTCTGAACTTTGCTGGTTGTAGCAGATTCAACTTGAGCAGAGCTAGAAAAGCAAAAAAAAAAAGGCAAATGGGAGAAATAAAACTGTTTCCGTTCCAGGTAACCACTAGGTGGCTCTGGCAGACACAGTGTCAGTAAATGAACCACTTGCTTATTTGTGAATATGATTGATGTAAATGTGCATAACATCATGGTCTAACAGGCCTAACAGGCTGCTAAAATAACTGACGAAATGTGGGTAGTCCATTACAGCTGTGAAAAGTATGAAAGTATGAAATGGAGTTGCCAGTATACTACCTAGGTAAAACTGACAATAGCAAAAGCTCATGTACTGTATCTGTGCATGATCAACAGTCAAGTACATTTTGTGTAGAGGGAAGATCCTGCAGTATCCTTATCAATGAGAAGGTTGTGTGTGCGACTCCCATGCAGTGTAGACTAGTCTTGGGAACTTGCTCTGTACAGTATGTGGTGCCAGTTGTACTAAGCCCACCAAATGTTACATTGGTGGTATAATCTAGGTTCTCTGAAATAAAAGAATAGCCACTAACCAATAGGACATTGCCATCTCTAGGATGGAGACCTGAGAATTTCCACTGATGGGCCAGTCAATAGATTGGTGTTCTCATCAGTGCCATGCCCTGATGGGATTGAGGTCTCACATGCATTGTGCTCATTAACCAGGCAGGAAAGGTGACCCAAGGTTACTCTTTTCTTTCGGGGAACCAGGGATATAGGAGTAATATTTGGTGGGTTCAGTAAAGATGTCCTGTTAATTCAGTCACACTATCAAGCCACAGAGAGTGAAAAGCTATTTGCAGAACATTACCAATTTAATTGTGGTCATTAAAATATACTTCATAATGTGAACCATTCTCATTAGTATTAAGAAGCCCCAGTGTAAGCTACAAAACACTACAGTATAAAGAAATTGAATTAGATGTATTGTTTACATTTTTGTAACATTTGTGGTTTAAATTCAGTCCAAACTTGAGTAACATGTTGAAAATGTACAGTTTGTTTTTAGTGTACTGAACAACAACAAAATGTATCAAAACCACTACTTACTGTCATTAAGTCTTCATATGCTGGTATTGAGCAAGATGAATATCCGCAAGCTATTTTCCCATAAATATAGAAAGAATAGTGTGACAAGCTGCTTTATGGTTGAGCTTTCCAAGGAGCATTCTGAATTTCACTTTGAAAATATGCACAATTAATTTGTAACAACGTTTATAACACTTCTGTTGCTATAATTCACTGGAAGAAAGTCTGTATCAGGGGGAGCAACCAGCAGAGTTTCCAAAATAAATGTCCTTATCTAAATCTCCCTACAAAACCATAAGAAGTCTTGTACTTAAGTTACAAACAAGAGCAGCACATTTGTCTCACTTGTGGCATACTGTAGGTATGATTTTCTTTTTTTGGTTTTCAGTATTTTCGGCCAATCACTGTCAATTTCCATAAAAATGTTTCTTCGTGTCAGATCATGAATCAGATTTTCTGAGAAAAGGTCATTTTGGCTACAGTTGCTGAGGCCGTCTTCTAGGTGTGCAGCAAGAACTCTCCAATCGAAGAATGATTTAGATAAATTCAAGCGAAATATTTGCTGTTTTCTTAAAGTGGACCATTCTGCAAAGGTTTGTTTTTGTTGTAGTGTGACCCAGGCTAGAATGTTTAAACAGGCAATTCTGGTCTGTATTTAAAGCCCTGTGAAGCTAATTGTTTAATCACAGTGTAGTCGAGAAAATTACACAGCAGCTTGTACTATAGACAGAAAGTGCTCACTTTTATTTATTCCTAGTATTTTTTTTAAGTTTTCCCAAATCCTTGTCAAAAAAGGTTTTCATGGTAACTGAAATTTAAAGGTTTTTTAGTCAGTTGATTTTTTTTTTCCTCCACTGAACACCCTTTTATAATCAATGTAATTCTTCTGGTGCATTAGTATAACTTTGTTCTTTTTAACTGTGGAAGAATTAGTCTCAATTCTGTGCACCAAAAAAACAAAAACAAAGATGTACTACACAAATACATTCTGTTCTAAAAGACAAGTTGGGACATTTTTTTTGCACATACTGAGAGTTTGTGACTAAGACTGTGCTCAAGTTAAAGATTCTGTACTTTACCCAATTTTCTGGGGATGTACTGAATTTTTTTTTTATTTGGTATGAGGCAAATTGACCCACCATGTGAAATATGAGGGGTATTAAGGTTACTGATGGCAACCATTTCTGTTCTTCACTGAGCACCAGTGTTCTCTGTTGACAGCAGAGTTCTTGCATCATCCTTGCAGAAACATTTTGTACAGATGTTTAAGATGTAGTATGTTTATTTCTCTCTCCATAAATCTAGCTGTGAGTCCTTGTGGAGGCCTGTCTCTGAAACATGTTTTGACTCAGTAGCAGCTAGAACAGTTGGTACGCTGTATGCATCGGTACTTTCTATACTGAAACTGAAGGGTAATTGGTAAGAATAACTCCCTAAACTTTTGTTTTCGACACCAATTCTAAAATATTGGTAAATCTCAGATTATATTTATTCAATGTTTTATATTAGAAGTATCTGACATCTGCTGGTGTAGAAAACGGTATAAAAAAAAACCAATGTCACTATCATTTTTGTAGGTCGTGAAGCTGTTAAACAACAAAAGATCACAGGCAGTGGGAATCCTGATGTCTAGCCTTCACTTAGATATGAAGGATATCCAGCAAGGTAAGACCAATCTGCACCTTTGCTTCAGTCAACATTTGGTATGTATAGTACACCTGATATTGGTTGTCTTTTAGAGCAATGGGTTGAAAAGACAGTTACGTACTGTATATCAGGCAAGGACAAAGCAAGTAGAGTCCTGCCTTTAGTTTAAGTTATGCATGCTGTTTGCTTTTTTAGGTCTTTAACCTTTTATATATAATACATAAAATTCAGGACCAGCCTTCAGTTGTGAAACTCCTCCATCACTCATTGGAGAAAAGCTACAGTACTTGCATCATGTATGACTGATGTCTTTCCAAGTCTTTAAAGGGTAATTAGAATATAAGCATTGCTGCAGATGAGAGGAGCTTGTATGATGTGCTGGCGTTCTTCAGGTTTTTCTCAGGTAATAGATTCAGTGGTCTTGCTCTGCTTCCTTTAAAAAACAGCTGGACCACAGCTTCAAGAACATGGGCTGGCAGCCTGTTTCTCTCTCCTACATCCTTCTGTTTAAAGAAATGCCTCCTTTCCCCATATTAAATTCACTAACGCATACTGTAATTTCCATTTGTCCTATTATTTGTGTTTCGCTGTTAATTCTGCAGAAGTCCATTGAGTTAAATTTGTCAATGCTTTTGAGGAGTACATGAATAGAGTCCTCTCTGTCTTTTATGTTTAAGAATTAAAGGGTTCATATAGGGTATTGCTTTGATACCAGGAATTTATCTGGATGTGATAATTTTGGTATCCTGGTAACCAGAATTACTGTATATTCACTACTCTAGCTTAGGTCTTACCAGTGCATTGTGTAGTTGAAGTGTAACCTTTGATCTAAATACTACCCTTTAAAGGGGAACTTGAACACTATTTTTATATTTCGGGGTTAGAAAGAATCAACGTAAATGAGTGCAGGGAGGATCCCGTGCTTGGTTTTCTGACACACCTGTCTGTCAGAGCAGCTCTTCTATCACACTACAAGCACCACAGTGCCTTAACAGGACAGCTAACGCCGAATACGGTGGCATCTCTCACACCGAGATCACTGCGCAGGCTCAAAGTAGTGACGTCAAGGCTATAGTAACCAGCCTAAGATCCGGGCACCATCGTTCACTAGTAGATCACCACCCACCATGAGCTCTGCAGTATTTGTTTTAAATGAGCTCTGTATTAATCTTATTCTTACTCAATGGCTAACCTAATTGATGCAGAATAAATCATGCACACATAAATGTCTCTCAGATTTGAATTAAGACCATTTTTAAAAAATGTCCTCCTTCAGTCAGTTTGCTTCCTCTGAATGTTTCTGTATCATGTACAATAGGTGGATAGTGGCTCCAGGTAGAAATTTAGGATACTGCTGTTTCCTTCTTGTTAGGTGTAATTAGGTCTTTTTTTCATATTCGTATTGGTTCGTCTCTGATAGTGGTATGAATGCTGCTTCTTCTCCCTGTCCTATACTTCATTTTCTGTCCACAGAATACTTGGTTATGATTTAGATATCTGGTTTCATTTTAGTTTAAAAGTTCTGTAATGGAATGCGAATGTGGGTAATTGCCAGTATATTTTAATGTACAGTACATAATTTGTTGACGCAACGCTGTCGTTAATATCCGATCCGAGCTCTTGGGTATTGAGAGGTCTTTCGTTTGACAGGATGCTTGCACATTGAAATGCAGTGGTATTTACTTGAGATATTTAAATTTTGCATTTAAGTATTAGTGAAAAAAAAGATTACATTTCATGAGCAAAGCTTCTGTCATTAAACCTAATAATAGGATATATAAAATAAAATGCAGAAACAGGTGATTTTTGTTTCTGTTACTATTCTGAACCTGCAGATGATTATGAAAGTTGTCATTGGCTCAAATGATCAGGACTAGCAGCAAACCTAATAACTTGCTGCAGTACAGCTGCTACATGTTCAGTTTTAAATCTTCCTGGAATTTTTTCCAAGAAAAGGTTTATACTGTGAAAATAACATGAAGAAATGATTCCCTTGGGTAACCCGTTTTTAAAATAGCCAATAGCACTGACAGCACAACAGAAATGGATTAGCAGTCTGTCCTACTGGGCACTTTGTTGTCCATGTGTAAAACTTGCGTTATTTTTGAGTACTGTAATGCCAAATAGTTTGTAGTACCAACAGTACATGATGCTGTACATAACATGTACTGTAATACATATAACAGTGCATCCCAGAACATATATAATAATAGTGCAACAGTTCAGAGGCTGATGACCATCCACCCGGCAGATGGTCAAAATAGGAAGTAATAGGTCAACTTCTGTCTGACTTGTATCCTTGACCTTTAAGGTTCTTCTGAAGTGGCTTTAATGTTAATCAATCATGTTGACAGTCTAAATAGGACTGACCCATCTGGCAATAGAGAAACCTCTCTTTTGGGTTTGTGGTAATGATCTTACATTGTTTTTCATTCTTATTTTTAGAAAACTGATTATTAACTGCCATTCACTCACAATTTGGTATGATGTATAAAATATTTAACTGCTTACTAAACTTCCTAAATCAAAAAATCTTTGAATAGTAGTCATATAGCAAGGCGCCAGCACTGGCGCCAAGAGGTACTTGGTATTTTTGTAAGCTGGCAGATGGAGTTGAGTTAAGTCATAGAGGGAAATCTGAAAACAATGATATGGTCCTTTCCCTCAGTCAAATATTTAACTCAGTTTGAGTTAATAATGAGAACCAAATGAACAAAGAAGCCCGTCTCACATCTGTGGCTGTGGTAACTGTACAGCAGAACTTCGTTGAAAGTATGCATGCTATCAAATGAGGATAGTGGTAAAACATGGAGTGGCAGATAGATTTTCCTCCTGTATACAGTATAAGCCAGACAGTTCAGGTCTGAATAGACAAGGGAGGCAAGTAATTCAGCATATCACTTTGTTATAATCGTTCCATCTTGTCTATAATCATAACTCAAAACCACATTTAGGATTTTTGGATTTTTTGTTGGTTTTAAAAGAGTTTTTGCAATTTAGAAATGTGTAGGAAATGAGGTTTCAATTATTAGTTCTATTGTTAAGGGTAAATGGAAGTCATTTTTATGTTGATGAAGTTGATCAATTTAATTACTACTTATTAACGTAATCTCAAATTGGCAGTGTCCGTATAAATTGTATGCGAGATTGTTTCATTTTCTGTGTTTGAGGTTAGTGAAGTGAAAAAAAACTGTAAAATATGTATGTCAGCCCACATTCATGACATTTTTTATTGAATACATTTGTTGAATAATAGAAACCAGAAGTGTGTAGATACAAAAGAAAAGAGGTTTCTAAGATGAAGAAACCTTATTCTAGAGTGATTTATGATAAGCTGATTTTGAAAAATATAAACTCAGAGTACACATACTGTTAAGAGCACTCCTGAGGGCGATAGGATATGTTCAGGATGAAAATACACAAAAATATTTAAATTAGGTCCGAATTGTTGCATATTGAAATATGACATTCTTAAATGTCTTTTGAGGTTGACCTTTTGTGCTCACATGTACACCTCATTTCAATCATTTGATTTGACAGGTATACATTAATTCACGGTGGTACATTTTAATAACGCAAGTGTAATTTCAGTGCTTTGTTCACGTGCAAGAGAGGGAAACACAACAGAATTCAAAGTTCTTAAAGTGATGCCTACCTTCATTTTGGACGATTTGATATCCAAATGTGTTTGTGTGAATGATTTCTCTATTTATCATTATCGTTAAATCACACTTTGAGACAGAGCATGCAACTTTAGAAACGCAGCTGGAAAGCTTTAAAATGAAAATGAGAGGTTCATAAATAACATGACAGTAGGCTAAGAGTAAAAGTAAGAACTCTAAAACCCTTCTATTTAATATCATTCCATGTTTTAAAATCCAAGGCAGAATATGATCATCTCTTTTCTGTGGGAAATTTGTAATATTTAATACAAATCAAACTGCTAAATATTCTCACACAACAGTTTTATCCAATGCTATATTTAGGAAAACTAATACTATTTTTATGTTTTGAATTAATAAAGTAAATTAAGCCTTTATTAGGTTACCGTATATATTTTTGATCTTATGAATATTCCCCACGAGTTCAGCAGTATGTGGAAGATTTATATTGAGCATTACATTGCATGAGTTTATGAATAATTACCTGACCAAAGCTAATTTGTAAGTTTTATTAACTGCTTTGTTGTTTGGCGTTTTTGGGCTTAAGTGTGTTAAGTCCAAAAGTGTCTGATGTAATAGAAAACATTTGGTACTTGAGTTGTTCTAGTGTAGTACTACAGAACAAAAACAATGAATTGTGTACTTGCTGCTTTTGTTGTAGTGTAACTTGTCACTTTTTTTCACTGTTAAATTTTCCCACTAGTGTAATTTGTTGTTGTAAGATATAATTTGTGCTCCTTGCTGTGGTCAGGACATCCATAGTATTAACCAGGCATTCTGAAGTGTCACTACTACATCCAGTGCCACATGGGCTGCATCATGTTTTTATCCTGTTCAGGTTTGTCCACATACTCTGGGGGAGGTGAAATCCCATTAGCCAAGGTGTTATAGTAGGTCTGAGTGTTTACGTTCCACCCAAACATTTCTCCAGGAATTTTCACAGTTATTAAGCACAATTCATGTCCAGGGGAGGTTATACGGTTATAAGGTTATAAGCCATGAAGTGATTGGGGAGGTTCTGAAGTTATCTGGGTGGTTTCATAGAGTTATTTCCCAGTATGTTTCTACATCCAAATGGAGACTGAAACAATGTTTGAAAGTACAAGTAATCACTGAACTGGAGCAGATCTTGAGTTCTAGAGAATGTTCTCATTACTGAGTCGGTGGGTTTTTTCGTTATGGATTTATGGTCCAAACAGGGGTACAGTATTCAGCTACCAAGAAGATTGGAGTTAGGTCAGATGTGTCTAGGGCAGCAGGTTTTACACTGCAGCTTGTGCTGGCAAGGACCAACTTAAAGTCCATGATGATGTGGTAGATCTCTCGCTTCTGTACACGTTGAAATAATCTGGATTC